TGTGTGTGTGTGTGTGTGTATTCCAATTAGTACACATTTGTAATACATAAAAAGGCACACATCCTGGAGTACATAATCATATTACATCTATATCCTTAACTCCCTTTCCTCTGCCCTCCCTCCCATGTCTCCCAACCCTATTCCCATCTCCATAAAGCATCCCTCCATTTTTAAATTTTGCTTTGTGGGGCTGGGGATTTAGCTCAGCGGCAAAGCGCTTGCCTGGCAAGCGCAAGGTCGTGAGTTCGGTTCCCGGTACTGGAGAAAAACCAAAAAAAATAAAAAAAATAAAAAAAATAAATTTTGCTTTGTATTTATATTTTCAGTTTCTCATAGAAGGGAAACTATGCAACAGTTAAACTAAGGTGTTTGAGAATGATGACTGCATTTTATCCTTCTTCACAACTGAGTTGTACTCCTTTGTGTATATATACAGCATAGCTTTATCCACTCATCTCTTGATGGGCATATTATTTGTCTGAAGATTTAGCCATTAAGAGTTGTACTACTATAAAAATGACTATGCAGGGACCACCGTATTATAATGTTTTAAACTCTTTTTAAAAAATATCCAGGAGTAATCCAAAAATGGGCAGCAGAGATGAATACACACTTCTCAGACAAGGAGATACAAATGGCAAATAAATATATGAGAAAATGTTCAACCTCATTAGTCATTCGAGAAATTAAAACAACACTGAGATTCCACCTTACCCCAGTAAGAATGGCTAGCATTAAAAAATCAACCAATAACAAATGCTGGCGAGGCTGTGGAGAAATAGGAACCCTTCTCCACTGCTGATGGGAATGCAGACTGGTGAAACCACTGTGGAAATCAGTTTGGAGATTCCTCCGAAAACTAGGCCTAGAGGTCCCATTCAACCCAGCTATCCCCCTGCTGGGTATTTTCCCAGAAGATCTAAAAACATCATATCACAGTGAGGTATGTGCACCCATGTTCATAGCAGCACAATTTGTAATTGCTAAAATGTGGAAGCAACCCAAATGTCCATCCACTGAGGATTGGATAAGAAAATTGTGGTACTTTTATATAATGGAATATTACTCAGCTGTAAAGAAAGATAAACTCGAGGCTTTTATAGGCAAATGGTCACAACTAGAGACCATACTCATAAGCGAAATAAATCAAACATACATGTGCAAGCACCACATTGTTTCTCTAGTGTAAAGCCTGAAAGAGTTAATTTAATGTAGGAGATATGATAGACATTGTGAATTGATAGGAAAGCACTCATAGGTAAAGGATAACTGGGATATGGGAAAAGAGAAGGGAAAGGAGAAAGTTTGTATATATGTATATGCAGGATAGTTAACACGGGTGTTCTACTGTCCTGTATTTCCTTGCTGAAACAAACTGTCAGTAAGGCATTGATTGATTAGCTTTGTATGTCTATATGTGTTTTCATGAGAAACTACATTGAAGATATCAATGTATAATACAATAAGCATTGCTAATTCCCTACCACTCTGTTTGTAACTCTGTAATGTCTGTACTGATCCTATGCTATTTTGTAAAATGTTGTCGGTCTGTTAATATTTTCCTCCTTTTATTTCTAAAAGAAAAAAAAGAAAAAAAATATCCAGGAGCTCTAAAGCTGCGTCAAATAGATTATTAGATTTGGAGGAAACTTCTTGCAGATTTCCATCATTCAGCTGATTACATCCCCACCGAGTAGAAGGCTCCTTGTACTCACAACCGAGCCAGCATTTGTTGTTTTTGAGCCCTTCATAATGGCCATTCTCACTAGGGTGAGGTGAAACCTCAGTGTTGTTTTCCATGGCACTTTTTGAATGGCTAACCACCTGAATACTTTAAAGCAAACAGAAAGAATATGAAAAAATTTTTAAAATATTAAAGCAACCCAGACCCAGAAGGTATCTAAGAGGAACTCATTTTATAACTCAGCTAGGCTGCTCTTAGCCAGTGTATCCTCCCTCTGGCATGAGTGTGGGTGGGTGGGACTCCCCTGCCCATAGTATGTGATGCAGTTGAGGAAGCAGATATGCAGCTCACAGTTTGGAAATATGGTTATGTGTTATGGATCAGCGAACACAAACTCCATCCCAGTCATCTGGTCCTACATCCCAGTCATCTGTAGCACTAGATAGGACCCTCGGTTTCTGGCCGCACTATCAAATGACGGCTCCCTAGACAAACAAAAAGGGGGTGCATGCACCCATCATGAGAGCAGTTTCCTTCTTTCTGTTGTGCTTTACCAGGAACAGAACTCACGACCTTGCACTTGCCAGGCAGGCGCTTTGCCGCTGAGCTAAATCCCCAGCCCCTGTTGTGCTTTTAGTTTGACTTGATCTAAATGTATCATCTTTTCCTTCTTTTCCAATTTAAAATAACGGCTTTATTGAATTGAAATTTATACACTATACAATTTGTAAACTCAAAGTAAATGATTTAGTAGCTTTTTGCATATCGACAGAGTTGCACAACCATGACCGTAATGAAATTTATATTATTATCTTTATACTAAAGTAAAATACACCACCCACTATCTATCTTCTGCTAATCCCTCCCCCTCTAAATCTAAGGAAGCACTGAGCTCCTCTACCTTCATAGCTGTTCCTATTCTTGAATTCTGGAATTCAAAATGCACCTTGCTCATAGCAACAATAAAACTACAACATACCAAAGAAATGGAAATCCTGAAACATGAGTCCTTACACCACATTGGAGTGAAATTAGAAACAGACAAAAAATCACACATAGACTACAATCTCTGTCTATGTCTCTCTGTCTTTGTCTCCCTCTCTCTGTCTCTGTGTCTGTCTTTGTCTCTCTGTCTCTGTCTTTGTTTCTGTCTCTCCCTCTTCCTCTTTCTCTCTCTCTTACCTGTCTTTTATTTCTTTCATGCTGTACTTATATGTTAAATTTTTCACATGAACCATATGATGTTCATGTTCGTGTGTCTGATTTACTTTAATTAGCATTATGGTCTCAAGGTGCATCCATTATCCTACAAATGCCTCAAGTTTATCTTCTTTTACAGCACCGTCATACTCATTGTGGATACATACCACATTTTCTCAATCCCTTCATCTGTTGATGGGCACAAAGGCTGTTTCCAAGATTTACCTATTAGTAATTGTGCAGCTCTAAACACGAGTATATGAATATCACTGTGGTGTGATATTTTAACACTTTGGAAATCATGTCTAAAAGGGGGAGGGCTGGGCCCAAAGGAATTCTATTTTCAGATTTTTGAGGGGTTGTATCAGTTTACATTCCCATCAACTATAAAGAAGGTTTCTTTTTTCCCCACAGCCTGGTCAGCATTTGTATTTGGTTAATTTCTTGAGGATAACAACTTTTTCTGGAGTGAAATGAAATTACAATGTTGTTCTAATTTGCATTTCTTGAATGGCTAGTGATGTTGAACATTTTTTTCATTAAATATACTGGCTAGCTGTATTACTTTGAGATGTGTCTATTCATTTCAGACACCCATTTTTGGATTGGGTCACCATGTTTTGAGTTCTTTCTATATTCTTGATGTTAGTATTTGTCAGAGGAGTAGCTAGAACAAAAATTACTACTCTGTAAGTTGTCTCTTCACTTTGTGGCTTTCTTGGAAGTGCAAAATACTTTTAATTTAATGTGATCCCATTTGTTGATTCTTGGCATTATTTCTTGCACAACCAAGTGTTGTACAGAAAATCTTTGCCTACGTCTATGTCTTTGAGAGATTCACCTGTTTTGTCAGCAAGAAGATTAAGTGTTTCTGTTCTAAAGTTGAGCTGTTTAATCCATTTTGATTTTAGCTGAGCATATGTTGAGAGATATGGGGCTAAGTTTAACCTTTAGCAGGTGGATATCCAGGGTTCACAGTTCCCTAAGTTAAAGAAGCTATCTTTCCCCTAGTGAAGTGATTTGGTACCTTTGTCAAAGACAGTGGCTGAGAGTGCATGGAGTTGTTTCTGTATCTTCAGTTCAGTTTTATTGGTCCACAGGTCTGTTTTTCTGACAATACCATGGTGTTTTGATCACTGTAGGTTTGTAATATAACTTGAGGTCTGGGATTGTGATGCTTCCTGCCCTCACATTGTTGCCTAGAATTGCTTTTACTATTCTACATCTTTCCTGGTTCCACGTGAATTTTATGATTACTTTCTCCAGTTCTGTAGGGAATGTTACTGATATTTTAATTTGGACTCTATTCAGTCTATTTAACAGTTTTGAAAGTAAGATTGTTTTAAATACATTGGCTCTGCCTAACCAGGAACAGAGAATCTTTCCATTGTCTGATATCCTCTTTGATCTCCTTTTTTGGAGAGTATTATATTTTTGTTTTATACTTCCTTCACATCCATGATTTGGTTAATTCCTAAGTATTTCATTTTTAAACTGCTACTCTGGAACACAATCTTTCCCTAATTTCAACCTCGTTGAATTTGTTATTCATGTACAGAAATGCTCTTGATTTTTGAGTGATATACTACTGAAACAGGTTATGATATCTAGGACTATTTTGGTGGAGTTTTTGTCCTTCTACGAAAAGGATCATGTAAATTTCTAATGAGTAATTTCTTCTTACCCTATCTAAGTTGCTTTTATTACTTTCTCTAGTTCATTGCTTTATTTAGTTTGTCTGAACTACGATCTGTCCACATTCCTCAGCTTAACTGGACACACAAACTCTAACAGTATATTCTACTAATTAGAAATAGAAAAGGCAATTTTTGCAATCCCTTAGGATTTAAAATTACACTTACAGTATGTTCAACCCATTTTGCCCCAACTATTAATGCAATTGATTGGAAACTACATTATTGAATTCTTAGCATTGTTTGATGCAACCTTATGAAGTGGAAGGTATGTTTACTCCAAGTTTTTAGCATACAGAGAAACTGGGTTGTGGTGATTCCCCATATCATTACAATGTTATCTGATTCTATTTTTCACTCTCTCAGAAAATGTACTCTTTTACAAGCAAGTTTTCAGCTTCATCATCTCTGTCATCTCAGCATCAAGGCAGCTGTTCATCACTCTTGGTTTCTGACACAGTGAGGATGTGGTTCACCACACTGTGTCTCGCACAGTAATACACGGCCGTGTCCTCAGACGTCAGACTGCTCAGCTCCATGTAGGCTGTGCTGGAGGACTTGACTGCAGTGAAGGTGGCCTTGCCCTGGAACTTCTGATCATATTTAGTTTCTCCATCTCTTACGTCGATACTTCCCATCCACTGCAGCCCCTGTCCAGGGCCCTGTCGCACCCAGCTTATCCAGTTAATGCTGGAGCCAGAAGCCTTGCAGGAGACCTTCACTGAGGCCCCGGGCCTCCTCAGCTCAGCTCCAGACTGCACCAGCTGCACCTGGCCATGGGCACCTGTGGAGAGAAGACAGAAGTTGGAGGCGGTGCCCCCTGACAGCCTCTGGTCCACTTCTCAGGCCAAAAACCAGGGATCACCTTACTTTTCAGAACTGCAATCAAGCAGAGGATTCTCCACATCCAGTCCATGCTGAGGAGCTGTGCTCTGGGGAATTCTGCAGAAGACGGAGATGGCTGTGGAATGCTCTGAGCCACACACCTATATATATTTACCTCAGCAGACTGGTTATTTGAATATTCATGAGGCAGGAAACTTCTTAGCTCTAGATCTGCTCCAACCTGGAGGGAGGGAGTAAATGTACATGGGCCATGTGTCAGTGAGGTGATTGGGTCCATATCCTTATCTGCCCTGAGGAAATGTATATCAGCCACTTCCTTAAACCTTGTTCACACAGAGCTTACTTTACTGAAAACTGAACCAGTACAGAAAGTCTCTGCTGTGTGAATCCAGCATAAATGGTCCACAAACCACCTGAGCTTCTTCTTGGCCATCAGCAACCTTGATGCTCAGCAGGTACATTGACCTCTACCTACTTCTATCAGGTATCAGTAGAACTCATTGTTGACTCTTGGGGAGGAACACGGCCCACCTCATATGTGTTGTCAGAATGAGACATGTACCACTCTGATAGCAATCGGGCCTAATGGCGTGGTTTCTCCAGCACATCTCTGAGTTGATGATGTCCCATCTGTTCTGCAGGAAGAACCTTGGTCCCAGGACCAGCCCTAAGATGTACAGTGTAGGGCTGGGTTTCTGATCCCATCAAGGATAGGACTTGAATTGAATCTTGATAACTCAGTTTCCAAAATCTTGCCTAAGAGCTTGTGTTGATTTTATCTGAGTTTCATTCACAATGGAACAAAGCAGAATTTTGAAGTTTCCTTAGAGTTTATATTGATATCCACTCTTCCTTCTCTTTACCCATTGATTGGTCTACATGGTCCAAGTACCTGTCACATGCTCTGACCCTCCACATCCCTGCCACACACTCATTCCTGGTGTCAACACCAAAACCTGATAGTGAGGATCATGCTCCCATGATCTGTGTGTCTCCAAACACTGTGCACCATTTCAAGTTAAAAGAATCCATCCTGTGTTCCAGCCCCTCACTACTGAGCTATTCAAAGCACCAGAACTCTATATTTGAGTTCTTTTTGTATGATTGAGTTAAATAAACTCATCCAGTCAGGGGAAATATTTTTCAAAGTTGTATATTCAATATAAACTTCTGATGCTGGGGAGTGCTTGAAAGAGGAGGATTTAAGACCTGGAGGAACCTGTTCGATCTTCCACAACTGCTCACAAACCGCAGCAGTGCAGGGTGGGTCCTGAGCACCCAGCTTCTTTCAGTCCTCATATGGGTCCCTGTCTGTGCCACAGGTGATTTTCTACAGAGCTTCAGCCCCCAGGGAAGTAGTGAACTGGCTTCTGTTGCTCTTTCAAGGAGACACTCATCTTCTGACCCATGTCCTAGAGTCGGGTACTCTCTTACTGACTCTGCTGTGCTACAAGGAGCCCTAAGCAGGGAGGTGAGAACCAGCCTGGGGGTTTCACTGCCATAGGTCTGCTGACCTCTCTGGGCAAGCCCAGCCAGGGCACACCTGCAGGCACCAGGGACAGCTCCTGCGTCTTCACCATCAACCCTCCCTTGAGGCCACAGCCGAAATCATCTGCAGCTTGTGTGTGCAGGGTCTCCTCAGGTCACATGTTGCTGAGACAGAGGGGAAACCACAAAGGCTGATAGGAAACCCTCTCTCCCCAGCTTCCTTCTCTGCACCTGCTCCTGGGATACTTCTTGGTGTTCAGTGGATCCTCAGCGCCCCCTGCTGGTCGCGGTGCCCCTGAAGGTGGTTTCCGTCTGGCCTGCATTGATGTCGCCTCACTGTTTCTCTGGCCTAGTGATACACAATCACGTCCTCAGTTCTCAGAATAATTTGTAGATAGAGTGTATTCTTGGCCTTGTCTCTGGAGGTGATCAATTGGCCCTTCATGGAGTCTGCACAATATATGCTAGCTCCACCAGTCACTAATCAGCAAGACTCAGGTTTCTTTTCCCTGAAGCCTGGCACAACAGTACACATCATAGCTACTGAAGCTGACTCCGGAGGCTGCAAAGCAGAGTCCTCAGGACCCTGAAGGCTCCCCACTGCTCCCCACATGACACCTGCTGCACCTCACACACATCACTGAAAACACAGGCTCATCCTCCCCAGGAAACTGTCACATATGTCCCCTTTTTATCCCACTTATGTACAAGCGCACATTCAATGTGTGTTATTCTCCATAAACCATCATTTAGAATATCAACAAGGAAAAAGCAGCTCAGACTAAACTTGTTCAATAATTAGGGTTAGGTTAGTGTCTGTGTTCAATAATTACCACTGAGTGGGAACAACAGGGCCTGCATGTTTGGGCTCCACTGCTGCAGGGTCACGGATGGGCTGATCCTTATCGGAAGGAGGCCCTATTGCCATGGCAGTTTGATATACAGGCAGTTCTGATGATGGATGTTTCAGAGAGCATGGTATCCATGGCAGAGAGGCAAGTGCTAGGGAAGTTTGGTAATAATGACAGCATTCAAGAAATTATGATTGCTCATTATGTGACATGCTTTGAATATGTATCCTTTCTCTCACTTTATGCATAAACACAGGTCATGTATATTTTGTATTAATGATGTTTGCTTTATAATAATGGAAGATTATGAAATGTTCTAATCAGTTGTGTTTTCTATGTAGGACTTGATGCCCTGAGGATGTTGTAGTCATTTTCTGGGCCTGTTCTCCCTTAAGCTGTGAACACACTGCTCCTTAATCCGGTACCTGCAGGTAGCAGGGCTCACCCAGCGAGGTTTGGAGCTCTCCCTTCTTGCATTGTCAGCCAGGGTGGCGCTCCTGCATTCTGCTGTTCGGTGAAGGAAACAGAATCGGTGTTGACATGGGCGCTAGTTGGTGAGTCTGTCATTACCGACTGTCATTATCTAGCTCTCTGTCTGTCTCATTTCTATTTTCATGTATATTTTTTAAATTTTTTGTTTTAATTTTTATTAGTACAGTTTGCAGTATTCAGTAGTTACACTCTTTGTGGGGGTTGGTGCATGTATATTACCCATTTGATTCTTTTTATACACTTCTCTTCCGTTCTGTCTCTCTTCCCTCCATTTCTTTGTCCCTTTCCCTGTACAAAATACGTAGGATCTAATTTACTATTGTCTGTATTTTTTGCTTTCTTTAATTTTTTGTTTCTCAGATAAGAGAAGTCATGTGATATTTAAGCTTTTGCATCTGATTTATGTCATGTATATAATGGGATAATTTTGCTGGCTATTTCTTTGACAGAAGAACATGTATAATCTAGAACTTATTGAGAACATAAAATACTAGATTTCCAAAGTAAAAAACACAACCAAAAAGTGGGCAAAAGAAATGAATAGATACTAGTTAGAAATTTTACAATTGGATAATAAGTTCATGAGGTCAGTGAACATAAAATGAAAATATTGAGGCAAAATCATTATTCAAATGTGAGGCTATCTTCTCTAGTAAATAATCCTAAAGTTAAAATTACTAATAAACTACTGGAAATTTTAATATTTACATAGAAAAATTGAATAGGTTTGTGAAGAGCAGCTAGAAAAACATACACATATTTAAATAAGAAGCAAAGCAGAAGATGAAGAAAACAGAAATAGAAAGAGATTCAAGTAATTCTCAAAATGCTGTATTCAATTGTTTCAAAAATATTTCACTGCATATACTAATCTGCTTCATTGATACTACTGGTTTCTCTGAGTTCATTGGAAAGAAAGTTTTGTGTTGTTACCTGTTTATTTCTTTTTGTAAAGGAGAGTCCTTTTGTCTCTAAATTGTGCTCTCAGTAACACTGGTTTCCTTCCAACATTAAGGTACACCGTGTATTACTTAGTTACATCCTAAGTATTCTGGTACTAAAATTTGTTATTTTTTCATAGAAATAAAAGGAATGCTCTTAATGTTTCTAATTAATATCTACATAAATTAAATAAAAATAGAGAGAAAATTATAAAAAGATACCTTCAGGGTCAGGGGTTTAGCTCAGTGGTGCAGCCCCTGCCTGGCAAACATGAGGTCCCCAGTTTGATTCCCAGTACAAAAAAAAATGATACCCTGGCTCTGAGAAACTTGAAATATATCAAATAAACAGTATTAATTTTATCTTCTCTTAATATAGAGAGCTCACTCTGAAAGAAATAGTAGGCACAGAATCTAGTATGAAATTCAGTATTTCAAACTGTATTATCTTTGATATTTGAAGTATAAAATCTTTGATATCAAAATCAAGTTTTCAGCCAGGCTAGGGGGATAAACACTGTAAACCCGAACTCGGAAGAGGGGAGAATTGAAAGCTGAGCCCTGCCTGGGGAACTTAACAATTTTGTGAGACTGTATCAAAATTGTTTTAAAAGCTAAAAATTGACTGGGGCTAAAGCTCAGTGGAGAGGCTCTGGGTTCAGTCCCTGGTACTTCAGATAAAACCACACACAAAAAAGAATTTTCAATTGCTTTAACTATGTGCAAAGTTAAAAAAAGACATCTAGTACTACTATAGAATTTAACAAAAACAACCAAAGCTGACACACAGATAAGACAGCAGATTTAGCACTTACAAAATGCTCTGCATCAACACGAGTATAAACATTGGAACCAAGGATTTCCTTACTTTTAGTTCTGTTTTCTTTTTAGGATTCCTGCCACATTGGGTTAGAAACATTGAAGTCATCAAGCTACATCTTCCTATCAAACACGTGTCTTGTCATTTCCAAGGCTCCAGCTTACCTCACAGGTAGAATTCAGACTTGACCCACACAGCTCATCTTGAGTGGCATGAGACCAGACAGGGGCAGAGCTGAGCTCCAGCTTCCACAGTTCATGCCAACTCTGTACACCTTTCCGGTCCTGGGTCATTGTCAAGGGTGCCTCATCCTGTCCTACGACCACGATCTTGAAACCCACTGCCCATGGCCAAGTATGGCCTGCATGAGAGATGGGTACCTATGTCTTTGAGAAACTGGGGTTGGTGTGGGGGGGAGGGGGGCATGTGTGTGTGTGTGTGCTGTATGTGTTTGAGTGTACAGTTTAAAACTGCAATATTGATGGACCTATTTTGAGGGCTCTAGCTTTTCTACATCTTCATCAACACATGCTACTGTCTGTAGTTTTTATTACAAACATACAAATTGGTAAATGGTGCATTAAATTGAAATTATTTTGCTAAACAGACAAAACTGGATACAAGCAATCTCACTCTGTTCCTTGAAGCATATGCAAAAATTTTAGGAATGGCAAATCCATAAATAGAGAAATAGATTTGTCCTCACTTTTACTGAAGACAGAGAGGTGAGAACAAGAATGAAAAGTGATAGCTAGAAAAATGTGGGGCTCCTTTGGCATTTTAGGGAAATGCTTTATAATGACATTGTATGGATGCTTGTCCTTTTTGATTGAAATGTACTGATCCGTAATGGACACTTTACTTTCAACTAGTGAGATTATGATACCTAAAGTATTGAAATACATTTGTGAAACATTCAAAAACTTTAGTTATAACGTTGTAAAAATAGTATACATGTTATATCTAAATGTTCGCTTGCATAAACAAGTCATAAAGAAAAAAATACAGAGCTCATTATTATTGCATTTAAGTAAAGGGAGAGAAATGACTCAGCGGGGATGAACAGCAAGGAGAACGCGGGTAGTTTCCCCAGGGGCTCAGTACAACTGCTCCTGTTTTGGGATCTTGGAGAGTCTGGCTCCTGGGCGTCCAGATCATGCTGAGTGCTCTACTGTGGTCCTCAGCACGCTTTGCAGTGACTGAGCAGCCCCTTAGTGTGCTGAGCATGGCATGTTGGTCCTGATTACCGCGGAAGTGAGGTTTGTGTGTGGGCTCAGGTTGACTTCTTCTCTCTGTGGGTTCCAAGTCCTGTCAGACTTTCACCAAGTTCCCTGAGACTCATTACGATCTGATTGTGAGGACCACAGCAAAATCGTTTTTAACTCATGTTAAACTGAGTTTTATACAGTTGAGAATGTGTTCTCCTATTTCAACAAGTGTGTCTAACAAGAGACGTCAGAGGTAAGGTCGGACTTATGAAATATGTTTATGTGGGAGCAGGTGTTATGTTAAGAAATTTGTCTCTTATCTTAAGTGGAAAACGATTTTCACTTCCGTCTACCCTTGTGTCTCTCTGCATCTCCAGTGCCCCCTGCTGGTCCTGAGCGCCTCTGCAGGGAGATTTACGTCAGGGCCCACACTGATGTTCCCTCCCTGGGTCGCTTGCACAGTAATACACGCAGTATCCTCGATATTCAGTTTGGTCATTTGTAGATACAGAGTGTTCTTGACATTGTCTCTGGAGATGGCGAATCGGCCTTTCACAGAGTCTGGGTAGTATGTGCTACCACCACTATAATTAATGCTTGAGACCCACTCCAGCCCCTTCCCTGGAGCCTGGCAGACCCAGCTCATCCAGCCTTACTGAAGGTGAATCCAGAGGCTGCACAGGAGAGTCCCAAGGACCCCCAGGCTGCACCAAGCCTCCGCCAGACTCCACCAGCCGCACTTCACACCAGACACCTGCAAACACAGAGACATCCTGCTCAGGAAACTGTCACACATGTCCACTGTTTATCCCACTCATGTCCACTCACAGCCTCCGTATTTCTTGTTCATAAACCACCTTGCAGAAGAGCAAGAAGGAAAACCCAGCTCAGTGCAAGCTCCATGGTGAGCCGCCTGTTCTCAGTCCTGATCACCGAGTGGGAACTGCTGGGCATCTAGGGCTGTGTTCCTCTGCAGAGCTGCGGAGTCAGGGCTGGGCTAGGCTGGTTTTCATCAGCAGCGTGAGGCCCTATTTGCATGGCCTCCTACTGTATAGGCAGCTCTCTTAGGGAGCTTCAGCTACAGATGGGTCTAGAGCACAGGAGAGTTTTCTGGGAGATATTTTGTCATACTCATAATAAGGAATATATAGTTTCTCACTATGTGCATGAGTTTTGATGAACACCTAACCTCATTAGTTTTCTGATATTTATGCATATATGTAAGAAATGTATTTGGTCATTTCTTAAGTTGTGCAGCTATGAAATGTACAGGGAGTTCTCAGAAGAAGAAACAGAAGTGGCCAACAAATATGTGGAAAAATGCTGAACATTCCACATTCTGGGCCTTTAGAGAAAAGGGAATAAAAACAATGCTAAGATTCCATCCTACACAGGAAAGGACAGTCAGCAACAAGGGTACAAATGAAATATACTGAGATATCTACAGTCAAAGAGGGACATGCTTACATTTTTGGTGAGAATATGAGCTACTACAATCCATATGGAACTCAGTATGGAAATTCATCAAAGAGGTAAAGTTAGAAATGATATATGACCGAGCTATCATCCTTCCAGGTATCTTCCACAGAGAGCTAAACACATCGTACTATAGTGATATGTGTGTACCAATGCGTAGAACAGCACAATTCCAAACAGCTAAACCCTGGCAACTCCCTACACATCCATCAAAGGATGACGGATGTGCTGTCTGTACTTCGTGGAATGCTACTGAGCTATAAAGAAGGACAGATCACAGACTTTGTAAGTAAATGGATGAATCTTGACAATATAATATGGAGTAAAATAAATCAGTCCTGCAAGCTTCAATATCATATAGGACTTCTAATCTGAATAAGGCAAAGTACAAACAGTACAATAAAGGATGATGAGAAGACAGGAGGATGGGTCTCTCACAAAGGGGAAGAGACCAAGAGAACATCTGTGAGAAATGAGGGAGACTGGAAGGGAAAATAAGTAGGATATAGATATGTGATGTCCATGAACCGAATAGGTCTAAATGAATGTAAACACTGTGTATCGTAATCATGTGATAGATCACTAATATCAACATGAATGAAAATGGGGCAATGAGATTCAGAGGAGGGGAAGAGAGGCACAGGGGAAGAGGAAGGGGATTTAAAAGAGAATTGAGCTGTGTTGTATACGTGTACCCACTCCCTAAGAATAATGTAAACTGCCCGTACTGCAGACATGGATTCAAAAAGAAATTGAATTAACAAAGAAAAACAAATTTTCTAGAAGCCGAACACTGCAGAGCATCTTAACAAATTTGGAGACAGGAAGAGAAAACCACAGACTCTAACAGCAAAGCTGTCCTGGAAAACTGCACCTGGTCCTTGGTCTGACAAGAGCTCAGTGCGTGCTGTGCGCCCCCTGCTGTCCTGAGCGCCCCTGCAGGGAGGTTTGTGTCTGGGCTCACACTGACGTCCCCTCACTGTGTCTCTCGCACAGTAATACACGGCCGTGTCCTCGGTTCTCAGGATGCTCAGTGTTAGTGAAACTTGGCTCTTGGAAGTGTCCCTGCTGATGCGCACTCGGGACTGAAGGGCTGAGTTATAATATGTGCTTCCACTATCCCATATAGCACCAATCCACTCCAGCCCCTTCGCTGGAGCCTGACGGACCCAGTGCATATGATAACTGGTTAAGGAGAATCCAGAGATGGCACAAGTGAGGGACAGGGTCTCTGAAGGCTTCACCAGGCCAGGTCCTGACTCCTGCAGCTGCACCAGAGACAGGACACCTGAGGACAAGAAGCATCAGCATCAGTCAACACACCCAACACCCTGTGCCCAGGTCCCTCTCCTGAGACTCAGAGACACTCACAGCAGGGCGCTGCCACCAGGCAGAGGAGCAGAGCCAAGAACTCCATGCTGGATGAAGGCTCCTGTGGGAGGAGACTGGGGCTGCTCAGGCAGGACTGGCTTTTCATCCTGAGCCTGGGGCTGCTTTGCATGGGGGAGGCCCTGAGGGTATAAGAGTGGGACAGACGGCAAGACGCTGAGTCCTTCCAGGGACAGTGATTTGCTTATGATGATCAGTTGCACTGTGAACAGGAGCACTCCAGAGATACTCTACTATATCTTCTATAGTCCTCATCCTTCCACACAAGGTGAAATTGAGCAGGGGCCAGGATATGTTGATTCTGAGCACAGTTTATGTGGGAATCTTTAACATTAAAGTGTCCATATCCTGGACAGGTTGTGACCTGCTGACTATTAATGCCCACCTTTCCAAGAGAGGGTTTGTAGTGGGAGAGACCATTGTGTACTTGTCTAGTTCTTATCAGAGGTGAATAAAAATGTTTAAGAATATAAGTAAGCTTTCTTTCTTCTTGTGGTAAGCGCTGCACACTTCGCCATGACTGTGTTTTCTAACAGTATTGCATCATCCTTGGGTGTGGTCTTCATAGACAACCTCTAGACCTTGTTCTCCAGGTTCTCAGAGCAGCCTAATTAGGGGAGGCTCTAGGAGCCCATGTATCTCCATCTCAGCCCACTTTGGTTTCTGCTGTCTGGAAATGCTGGGACTCCTCATGGACTACAGACATTTTGCATCTGTGTCTCAAATACCTGCTCTTGAGGACTCAGGTTTCATCATGTATGGAGTTTCTAAATCTGTAGCTGAATCCAGTTCTTGGGAAATCACCTCCAAGGTCTCAGCTCACTTTACACCCATCAAGAGGAAGATGGGTGACAGATGACAGGAAATACTCACCAGGCCAGGTTGAAGGTATATGAGAGATTTTCCCTGGCCCTGTCCCCAACTGCTTCTCATGGATGTTGCATGTGCTGAGGTGAGGAGGCCCCTGCTCTGCACACCCACTGTCACTCCTCCTGGCGCTGCCCTGGGCTGGCCCCAGACATCACCACAAATGTGACCACATGCTGTGTTCCAACACCCTGCTCCTTGTCTCCAAAACAAAAAGAGATTAAGGCAAATATTGGTAGTAATGTATGTGATTTTTTATCCAAATCTCTTGAAAATGTTCCCATGGGTTCCAATTTGGAAACAAGTTGCTACATACACTGCACTTTTAAAAACAGATGCAGCGAGGTGTGGCGCTGCATGCCTGTAGTCTTGGTCCTGAGGCAGGAAGATCTCTGCAAGTGTGAGGCCAACTGGGCTACATGGTGAGTGCAAGGCCAGCCCGGACTACATATTAAGAATCTGCCTCAAAAAGCAAACAAAAAACAAAAAATAGAATTAAAGAACCTGAAAGTCTACACATTAGAAACTCTCACAAAGGAAAACATTTCAGAATACAAAATACTGGTCAGGAGAAATCCTCATGAGAAAGAAAGGATCTGGCCCGAGAAGCAACAGCTTAGAGCAGGTACACAGCAAATCAGATACAAAGCAATAAATGAGCTATGATTTAAAATTGGATGTAAAACACTCGAAGTCCCTTAACTGTGCTTCTATGGTATGGTTTGTGTCTGGACATCCCCCCAAAGCCTCATGCAGTCGTGGGTTGGGCCTCCATAGTTTATGATTGATCCATGGTCCAATTCTGGGATTATGGGTGTGTGTGCTACAGCTGCCCTGGGGTGGGGGGTTTGCACACAGTGTAAGGGAGGAAAGGAGGCTGCTTCCTGCTGCTCCTCCCCTTTTTTACTCTTGCTGCTTTTGCTGTTTTCTGTCACCCTGAACTGTTGCCCCTCTGCCATGGGCCACTCTGCCTAGCAGCCAGCTGCTTATGGATTGAAACCTTCACAAACTATGAACTAAATAAACCTTTCCTTCATTAATTTGGAAATCAGGTATTTTGTCCCAGCAATGAGAGAAAAGTAACCAAAACAAGTGGTACATAGCAAATCAAATATAAACAATAAATGAGCTATGATTTAAAACAGGGTATAAAATACTCCAAGTCCTTTAGCAGTGGTTCTATGAATTTCACTTTATTTGTCAGGTCCAGAAAAACTCATTTCACAGATATCTGAACAGCAAAGGATTATCCATGTCACTTCACATATATATACTAGAATTCTCCACACCAGAGCCCAGAGATGGAGGCATACATGTGGTCAAAAGTTAGAGGATACACTGTCTTAATAGTATTGATCCAGTTCTACCAGTAACCACTGGTTGTGATGGAAAATCCAGAGACTGAGCAGTGAGGGACAGGGTCTGTGAGGGCTTCACTTGGCCAGGTCCGGACTCCTGTAACTGCACCTGGGACAGGACACCCGGGGACAAGAGAATCCTGTTAGTCACCTGCTTTCATAACCTTCCCATGGACCCATGTGTAACACTGAGGACACTCACTTTGGAGACCTGTAGCAAGGCCCAGAATAAGACCCAGAAGTCTCATCTTCTAGACCACACCCTGTCTTCCCAGAGACCTCTGCCATTTTTCAGGAGAGAGCTGGGAGCTCTGACAGCTGAATAAGGGAATTTGAACCTGGAGTTGGAGGGTAAATTCTCATGCGGGGAGTTTCCTTCTTCAGTGATGGAGAGAGATTGATGACGGTGTTTCTGTTCCTTTTACGCTGCTAAGAGGAACCTTTTCTCCTGAAGTGGTGTTTGTCTCTGTAACAAGTGGAAAGTAGATTTCAGAGGAATGGTAGAAGCAGGGCAGAGGATACGTGCATCTTTATAATCCAAGTTTTACCTCCCTGAGGGCCCTTCTCCTTCCTCGGTCCCAGCCCCACAGTTCGCCTCCCATCCACGCTCTGGCTGCTGCTTCCTCAGGACTAAAGTGAGCACAGCTCCCTCTTTCTCTCTGTGATCTCTCTTCCCTGATGCCAGTCATGCTGCCAGAGAGCTTGCTTCCCTGTCATTTGCTGTGGTCCTGAGAGGTCCACCCACCTCCTGCTGTTAAAATCCTGCTCCAGATCCAGCAGACACTGGATATAAAGATGTGTGTCCTGTACTTATGTCAGAGAGATGTTTCTAATCATTTGGGCATAGGAGGAGCCCATGTGTTTTCCCAGGTGACCCTGTGCAGCTCCTGTGTGATCATTGCCTTTCGAGTTTCAGCTTCTCTTAGTGTTCTCTGGATGTCATTTTTAAACTCAGAATGCTTCCTTTATGATGGATATCCCTATTTAGATAATTATGCATTATTATCACTGTACATATGAAAATAATGTCCCTGAAATTCAGACTTTCCATAACTGGCCAATCATAGCATGGCCATATTTTGACCTTTAACTCAGTATATTGTCCAGGTTGGCCTGAAATGTACTGAGATCTCCTGCCTCCACCTATTAAGTCGCTGGATTACAAATCCACTTAAGAAAATACAGTGGAAATATATTGTGATATTATGCTTGCTAAAAATATTTTTGGATAAGACCCAAAATGAATGAATGAGGGCTTTTTCTAGATGTCATTTTTAAACTCAAAATGCTTCCTTTATGATTGATATCCCTATTTCAATAATTATGCATTATTAACACTGTACATATGAAAATAATGTCCCTGAAATTCAAACTTTCCATAACTTAATAGAGAGTAGCATAAAATAGAGAGTAGCATACAAGTTTTGGTGTTTTTAAAAAGAATATATAAAGGGTTCAAACAATAAAATAACATAAAAGTTAATAATGAATAAAAGAGAGTAGCTTAATAGAGAGTAGTGTAAAAGCTTTGTCCATAATTCAATTCATTGGAAAACCTACATTAACTGAAAATGTATGTTAGATAAGTGTTGGAGACCACTACATAGTGGCTCTGAGCAGGATTTAATATTAACCCATTGGCTTTCCATGTTGACTGGTGAGTTGTCCGAAGCTAGGCACCTTGTCTGAAGATGGGCAGTGGACTCATAGTTAATGAACCTGTATGAGTCACTGCTCACCCTGAGACCTATGTTGGCCTGTGAAGCTGTGATGCCTCAGAGGACAAGTTAAGGCCACAGCTGAGGATCTTTGGCTCCAACCCCAGTTAACTAAAAGGAAACTATAGCTGCAGTTTCCACACTCCTATAACAGATACCAATAAGGTAGTTCCTCTGACTGACATAGTTTACTACTTGGGAAAATATTTCCCAAGGTCTTGCTACATTCCTGCATTTTCTTGAATATCCTCCTCCTTCGTTTGAAAACCTAATAAACAGGGGCTGCCCAGAGAAATCTTTGTCTTAATCCAGAGAATCTTAAATTCAATAAGAGAGTTAGATCCCCCTGGAACCCGAAATCATTTCAATTGTCTCATTTATTTAAGCCTTTGCATCCACTCCTTTGGAAGATTGTGGGACTGATCAGCCTGCAATAACTAAGGGTTATTAACCCGATAGATAAGGAAAAGGGAACTGAGTGGCTTTGTGCCTTACACCACCACCCTCCAGGAAAGTAGAACTACATGTGAATCATGGCTAAAAAGGGCATCAAGGTTGGCTTTTCTGAAATTTGACTTGTGCATGGTCAGGCTTGGAGCAGAGTTGAATCTGAATTCTTGATGCAAAAGTTTTTCATCCTCATGAAAACCTCAGTTTTGCTCTGAGAGCCTTGCTGATCTTTGCTGATTGTATTATCACTTTCCCTACACTGGGACTAAATACCTGACACCCACACATAAAGGAGAAGCTTGTTTTGGTTCATAGTTTCAATGGGTTCATTTCAAGTTCAGTTGGCTCCAAGGTGGAGACAGCATGGAAAACGTGTAGAGTAGAACTGCTCAGCCCACTGCGATTAGGAAGCTGAGCAGGAAGCGGGGAGCCAGGGACAAGAGTTTCACATACATACCGTCAATTAATTTCAACAGGGAATTAAGACTGAAAAATGGAAAAAGCAGAGTCTAACAAATGGTCTTGTAAAACTGGGTATCTATATACAAAGAAATGAATTTGGGCCTGGTTATATACATCATGCAAAAATTGCATAAAAATCAAACAAAATATGCAAGAAAATCCTAAGACTTTTATCAGAAACAGCAAAAATCTCATAGCTACGTATCATGGCAGTAAATTTTAAACTTGTTTCTGAAAGTGGAGG